CAATGTTGGCCTGGCCATGTTCGCTAAGCCGCGAACGTATCTGGAGCCCTCAGTCGTATTTGGGTCCGAAGGCCTCTTAGGCCCTAAGATTTATAAAATATCGTCATTTAACAACTGGCTGTCTTTTGTGCAGAATTTAAATATAAATAGTATTTATTTATATATTTATTTACGAGTATTAACCATTTAATAAGTTTGCATTTACTTTATTATTTTATTATTAATAATATTGTACAAACGAGTGCATTTATACATAAATTACTGAAACCTAAAATGCCGTGGAAATTACTTTTGAAAATATAAAATATTAATATATTTTGTCAAGAAATATATTTTTATATTTTAGAAATATTACCAACTCATAAAATTGACTTCCGACCTAATGTCTCATTGATTTGCATGGCCTTCCATTTGGATTTTTATTCATGGAGATAAATGGAAAATTCAAAGGGACTTAAAACAATTGCTCCAGGGGCCTTTGGTGTGCCAGACTGATACTGTAGGTTCCTAGTTATTGTGAAATGTAGTTGATATTTCCCCCGTTAAAAAAAAGTCTAACGAGAAAGACAATTTCACCGAACAAAACTTCAAACTTCAATAATGTGAATTCGTTTAGGGGCCTTAGGCCATCACTATTCGAGCAGCTCATATAGGAATTTCATTCGAAAATACACTCCGGTTTGTAATGCGAAAACCACGTCTAGTATAGTAGATCAGACGGGAAAAATTGAATTGCGTTTTTTCGTTCCTCCCGTGAATGTTTGCTTTCCTGTTACTACAGGAGAAGAACAATAATAACATATCGAACTATGGCACGTGCGTTTAAAATGCATTCCATTTATGCTTACGGATGGAGAAAATCCTTTCTACGTCGGTTTACGTGGCCGCGCCATCACACAATGTTTTATCCTGATTGATGTATTTTCCCCGGAGAACCTATTCGGTTCTCCGTATAGGTATAAGTATTACTGCTTTTTAAATATGCATTTATCATACGGTGCAGGAGTTTTATTGCCTCTTATCGGTCACAATTATTATTATAATACGCCCGTCGCCCGTCAGTCGTCGCTTCCTTACGTCACGGAAACATTTCCGTCGGTCGTATTTTCTGCAGTGCACGTCACGCAGTAAACCGTTTTGTCCGGGATACTATCATGAAAATCTTTTGGAAATTCAAAACGACATCTGCAAAAAATGATACTTTGAATTTGATTCCGGAACGAAAATAAAAACATTGGTCGCAAAACATAGGGGGACATTTTTAACTTTGGCCCCCACATTTTATGGACATAATAGAGCTCACCTAGAACTTTAGATCTTTTACTTTTTGAAATCATTTTAGACCAACAGTATTGTCACGGTGATATTAAACATACATGTACCTTTAGTTATTTTATATGAGTTAACAATTAGTTAGGATTTACTGATGGTTGAGCAAGTTGAAAGCAGTTGCCAAAAACTGCATTCAAAATGCTCCAAGTAACGATAGATCAATACCAAAATATTCAACAAGTTAATTCAGTATAATTTCAAAATAAATTCAAACTTCTCAACTTGGCTCCGAGTAAACCATTTTCCTCGATGTTTTTCGAGAGATAATTTTCTAAGTTCTAATTTATTATTCCTGCACGACTATATAAACTAATCCATCAATAATCAGGTTTTCCGTGCAATATCAAGTACCTTCATCGGAATTTTACAATATAAAGCCGCAGTTTGGAAACCATCGTGGCAGCGATATAACCTTATCTATTTATACACTTTATAGACTGCATAGCTACATTATTTCAAGAACACTTACACCATTTGATATTTGTTTTGGTTGGACTTTGGGAGAGGCCCAGAATCCTTGAACTCCCTTGGACTCCCTTGAACTCCCTTGGACCCCCGTAAATACGTCACTAGAAACCCTTCCTCCAACATAAGAAAAAACACTAAACCATTAGTTTTTTTTTTATTTGTAATTATTAACCTAACCTACGGCTATTTGTTAGTACTCCAGGCCGTTAAAATAAAATATAGGTACCTAACTATTTAATTAGATTCTGCGAATTCATATATGTATAAGAATTTAATGATGACCTGTTTCTTATTGCAGTTTATATAGTATATTTGTATTTGTTTATACTAAGAAAAAAGGTTTAAAAATAAAATAAATAAACAATATTATTATTATTATTATGTTAATATTAGATGGTGTGTAATTATATTGCACTTAGTTGTATTATAAAATATTATACTTACCTATTACAGCAGTAGTACTTATGAGAGAGTTTTTTTTTTTTTATTAATTCATTTTAACGAGGATACGAGAGTTATTTATAATAATATATTACATAGACTAGGTAGGTACCTAATAAAAACGGTACCTATATAAATCATTTCGAGAAAAGTTACATAAATCATATTTCCTTTTTTTTTCTTTTTACAAGTTTTTTTTTGTATTCAATGTAGAGCTGGGCCTATTACTTAATTGGTAAATATGTTAAATACCGTAAAAGTGCGCGTGTGCGTTATTTATTATTTATTATACCTTAATGGTCTAGTTGTGTACCTACCTGCAGCCCTTGCGTTTTTTTAATGATGATATTAAATATAAAAAAAAAAAAATTTGATGTTTATTTTGTTCTTCTAATTGTATAATATTATAATGTAGTCATGTCATTTTAGCGATTTCTGACTCGGTGTTGGGGAGGGCAAAAATAAAAATAACGTACACCTACGAATAAAATGTTTTAATGCTCAATATAGATAAAATCGTGTTATAATCTAGTCGCCATATGTCAAATAGAGTGGGAGTACCTAAGAAACGCTGATTATCGATACGTATTTTACATTTTGCAACATATTTAATGATGTTACGGTACCTATTTCTATTCACATACGTCAATTACACTCACTTCCTCAACAACTACCACTACGTATTTATTTAGTATCGAGTAAAGTTGATCGTGAAGATTTGTGTATAATATTGTAGTGTAACATTATCTTATAGATATAGACGGTGAAGTAACAATTATTGTCAAGTACAAATGAATATCGAGCGTGCTGTTATTGATAAAGGGTTCCTACTCTATATAATAATATGGAGTAAGACTAAGACAAACACGTTCTAGTCAGCGTACCAGACCTATGTGGACTACGTGCTAATACACTTCGGATACAATATTCCAGTAGATATTATTAATTAATATACTAACGATACCTCCTTGATAAAGCCGTCAGGTTAGGTTACCAAAAACATAGATTTATATTAAAATGTCTCTTGTAAATGCAAGAAAGAGTATACAAGAGTATAAGAATGAAACCTGCAACTGTAAGAAAGGCATACATAGGCAATTTATTACTCTTCCCTACTTCTCCGGTCTAAATTTTAAACTATTATAACTCATAAATGGTAAATCTGATTTAAGTGTTATGGTTATCAAAATTTCTAGAAAAATATTCTCTATTCAAATCTGAGTTCAATGGGGGGGAGGGTTCCAATTTTAAAATCAAAATTATGCACTCATTTAAAGTATATGGGGTAGGGAGTAGGGGTAAAACATTAAAAATGGTTTTAAAATAAAGCCTTAACGATTCCATAATGATTAGAAAAAACATAAATCAAATTCACTTAAAATCCTCTGAGATAATTGCTGGTTCGTAATAAAAATATCACTCGTTATATGTCATATTATGGTAAAATAATTAAATAGGCATTATATATTATCTTTAATAATATTTGTTTACTGTACCGATTTTCCCGTTTTTTTCTACGTTTTCCCCGGTTTTCCCATGTTATTTCCCCTGGTTTTTCACATTTACTGGGAAAACTCTTGAAAAAATAGAAAAATGGCCTCTTTAAACGTTGATTTCCTTTTAGTAAAAGTGCTACACGTAAAAGTCGGAACAAGTTCTCTGGTAGAATAGTTGTCCACAGAAAACCTTTTTATGAATCGTTCAAACCCCTTTATATTTTTTTTTTTTTATAAAATCCTTCAAAAATTCTATTACTTATACAAATTATATTATACAAAATTATAAGGAATACCAATTTTCATAACTTTAGTGACTCTCTCCAATTAATAATCGTGACCTAGGTTATAACCTACTCATCTACCTACCACCTAACCTACCACTGATCTAGAGGTTTGACCTATTCATATTAGTAAACTCGAATGAGACAGTAAAGATTCAAGATTAAAAAGTGGCATTTTTTTTACAATTTTTGAAACAACCGTAATATTTTTTGTAAACTAATATTGAAATAAATAAACAATATGTGTTATTCCCTAGATAAATTTGTGTTTTTTAATTTTCACTATAGGTTTAATCGAGATTTTTAAATGATCTTGCGGTACAATATATGTGTGTTGTAAGAACTTTCAATTAATACTTCATCGTGCCAAGCATCGTTCCATGCTTCAATAAATACGTAAAAAACGTGCCTCGCTTTAAAGTGGGTATATGCTATTAATCATTTTTTTTCATGTTTTCCATTGGTTATCTTTTTTCAGTTCATTTTATACAAGCATGTTTTTTTTTCTTTTAATATTATGTATTTTATTTATACGCACATTTACTGATTGAACTTCTATAAATGAGTAGTTTAGTTAATAGTGTTATAGCCATCCCTGAATTGTCTGCATTAGGATGTTTTACATGCCGGTTGCAATATCACACACGGGAAGGTCAACGGATTTTACATATTTTTCTGAATTGTTAAAAAAAAAAAATTAATGCAACACAATTATTATTGTCATAATCGGTTATTATCGGTGTGTTGTATATTAATACTATTAGACATGCAATTTTTTATGCACGATTTTTAATCTGTTCGTAAATCGTCCTAGAACATATAGGTATAATAGAATATCACGGCGGATACATTTCACATAAAGAATGCAAATTTGAAATACCGATTTGGGAATGATAGCAAACACACAACAAAAACGGCACACACAAACAAGTATAATAATATAAAAATGATTTCGAATCTAACTATTGGGCGGGGGGAAGAAGGACAGGAAGCTTAAAGTCAGCGTATAATATTATGATGCGGTTTATCATCCGCAGCATTGTACATATATGATTTGTGGACAAAAGCGCGTTTGTTCATTTGTGTACATAGTTACATATTACAGTCCAAGAAACATTATGGTCGTGATACAATATTATATCTGTGTTTTCCTTTACGTAAGTATTAACTTCGAGTATATTATTGTTATTATTGTTTTAGCATAGTTTTTAATCAAAAAATAAAAATAGATAAATAATAGTAATAATAAAAATACTAAATAATAACTGTAAAAAATAACAGTCGGAAACAACGTTTTTTTTGTCAAAAGATAAGGGATAAGACTAGGGACTCGTCCCCCCAGAAATCGTTTGTTTTATTCGTTATTTCGGTTGTTTTGTTATATAAAATCGTTCTAAAAATTATTCGTACTCCCTCCGAAATTTATTCCTGGCTACGGCACAGATAAAATAATTATATATTATTTGCTCGGACATTTCGAAATAATAAAATATGTTATTTATATTATTTTTGGGGATAACTCATACGTACATATAGATTTGCAAGTATACATTATAATATTATATAATATCATCATCAAATATTAAATAATTTTTCAGTAACGCGTAGATTGAGGGGATTATTTATTGATTTTTTTTAGTAAGTTTTTGTTTAATAGGGAGGAGGAGAAACGAGCAATAACGGTTTCTATTCATTTTGATTATTAATTTTTTTTTTTTTTTTTTGTATTCAGTGAATAGTATCATAAAAACAGAAAGTTTCACTTTATATTTATAATTTAACCGTTTTATAGGCATGATACGATTTTCAAAATATTCAGATTTATTTAAGCTAGTTTTTTTTCGGATAAAATGTATACATGATTTATTTTAAATTGTACTTATAGTGATAAAAAAAAGTTATTTTTATGAGCGTTTTAAGTTTGAGTTAATGATGAAAATGATTAATATGCGAACAATTACAATTTATTTTGTAGATACAATTGCCAATTCAAACTGCGCTCAGAATCGTTTTCAGTTTACAATGATATTTCGTTGTATGCAGTATATTATTAACCATGTTACCCTATACATATCTTACTTTCTAAACTTTCTAAAACCAATGAGGTACTTACCTATCGAAAATCTACCGAAAATGTTGCACTAATTAAAAAAAAAAAACTAGAATATTTTGTAACATTTTGAGTCTAGTTGCATGGAGAAGGTAATTTTATGATTTTCATTGTATTGGAAAATGTACTTTATGTAAAATGTATTTTTTTTTTTGTTATTTAATTAAAACTAATAGTAGAAACTTAAAACTTTTAAAGAAGACTTATAATAGTAATCTTATGTAAAAGTGGTAAAATTTTCAAAATATTCCAGTGATTTGTCAGCTATTTTTACAGGTATTTGAAATGTTTGAGTTATTTAGTTTTTATTTGGTTTATATGTGAATAAAATCGTTTTAACCGAGGAGAAATGCTTGAAAATTGTTTAAAATGTTGATTATAAATTGCAGATAGTGGTAAAAAAAAAAAAAAGTTGAACGTAATTTAGTAGATTTTTTTATAAAAATTTAAGATTTAATTTCGATGAAAATCGTAAAATGTACGGCATTTATAACGTGCTTAACCGAACTTCGCTCAGAATAGTATTTCGTTGAAATAACAATTAATCGATTTCATATAGTTATAAATTAAATAACTCTAAGCATTCTATTTTTCCAAATTTTCACCTATAGCAGTAACACGCACGTCTTTAGTATTAAACTTTCGTTTTTTTTTTTTTTTTTCTATATAAACGAACATTATTATTTTATTTTATTCCCATCAATGTCGTGTTGGTTTTTATTTAATCCGCGTTTTACGCCGATAGATATATTTTAGTGAAGGGAAGCAGGCGGTTTCGTATATGATCCCTTCTAACTCCTGCAGCAGTCTGTCATCAGTCGTGTCTTTCGTTCGTGTAATAAAGATTCCCACTAGGAAATCTCTAATGGAATTCGGACATAACACGTTTTCGTATTTTATATTATATATTATTTATAGTTTTCTCGTATATATATATATATAAGCACATTAAGACGACGTTTTTATTTTTTAGTAGTGAAAATGTATGTTACTCGCGTGTGTCAATTTTGTCGGACTTTTGGTTTTAATTGTAGCTATCTATATACGAACTGCAGTTTTAAATTGCCGACTGTTGTAACACCATCATTTTGTCGATTTTTTGATGTACGCCGTCGTCGTCGCCGTGCGCCGTCGTTTCGTCGATTGCTCTCCAAATCGCTGTTCAAACACACTGCACATATACGTATAACATCCGTAATTCGTCATGAATTCTCTCGAGACACGTGATTGGCGAGTCCTTTAAGTTCGCAATTACAAGTCAAGGGGTTTTCTCCGGCTGTACTCCTATATATGGCTATATAATATAAGTCCAAGTGGTCGTTTTCCCATATTTTACGCACAGATTGCCGCGGCTAAATTTGTATCTATTCATATATACGCAGTCGCTACCTACTACTAGTTTTATGTACGTTCAATAGTTCGAAATATGCAATAAAATATTTGTATATTATAATATTATTTTTTTCAACAATAGTTTTATAAATTCAATTTGTTTTTAAATCAATATTTTATAACTATAGACTATTGTAGGCTAAGGTATTGTAATAATGAAAAAAAGGGGGTATAATAGGGGGGGAATAATAATATGTAAATAATGATAAAGATAATAATATAATATAAGATAAATGAGGTGTTTTAATTTGATACCTATGTTAAATCTGGTATTTGAATCCTTCCTCCAGCTATTCGGAATGCTATTCGGAAGTCGATAGTCCGAGAATAATGTGTCGAAATACACAATAGTTATCAAACTGATGATTTAATTTAAATTAAAAATTGCACTGGATATTTTACTAGTAAATGTCGTGATAATTAGCCGGTAATTTTAGTGAATATTGACACAATATACTAATGTGAGAGTTTGACTTGATTTTAAAGACAATTATTAACAATGCGTTTAGTTGTTCAATACTTTATATCTGTACCAGTGTTCTGTTTAGTTATACACAGTGAAAACAACGTTTTAATTAAAATTACTGAAATATCATTCATCTTACTTGCTTACATCAGAGCAAATCTACAGCATCATGATGATTTGAAGAAAAATGTCATATTGGACTTGACACTGAGGCAGACCAATAATGGAATACACGAAAAGAAATTATGATATATATATAAATATATACTGATAAGGATAGGGTAGTTACAACGATTTAATGGATTAATTAGGATACCATGGGAAGACATGATGGGGATCTGTAACAAATCAATCTGAAAACCAAAAACTAAATTATTATAATGTTTGAGGTAGTTACATCGAATGCAAATACGACTTTGTACGACTTCACCAATATGTTTGCGATGGAATTCGTCTTCCAATAACAAGGTCTTGCGTTTAAGTTAGGTTACTCTTGTAATCTATGTCACTTCGTATGACATAACCTACGGAGTAAATGTGTGCATTTTTTCTTTTTTAATTTCTGATTATATATATTTGAAGCTGAAGAAAATATTTTGAGAAAATGTCGAAAAAAATATGTAAATATCACGAAAAACATCAATACCTACGCTTACTAGCTGGATACACAGTGATTTTTATGAAAAAAAGTTGTACAACCTAACTTAAAAGTTTTAAAACAGCGTTAAAATAATACATTTGCATATCGGTTTGAAAAAGTTTAGAAGAAAAAAAAAATCGTCAATATTATAATATATACAATTTTAACTAATATTGATGAGAATAAGAGTTTTCATTTTAACAGGAAATTCTATACTTAACGTAAAATTTATACCGGCAGTTCTAAATAAATGCACGAGGAAAACAAAATAATTTTAGTCGTGAAATAAATAAAATGACATTTGTTTAAAAGTTTTCATTGAAATTAAAACAAAAATTAATAACGGACAGTGATCCGGTACTGAACACTGAACACTCGGTATTCAGTCCGACAGCACTTTTTATAAATATTATATATTTGATAAACTTTCATATAATTTTTGAATTTTAGACTTTAGTTTTTTAATTATAATTTGTAATGCATAAAAAAAAAAAAATTATAATTTGTCTGTTTTAAAAAAAAGTTTCGAATAAAATAATATTGTAATATTATTTTATTAAGAATAATGGTTTCGTCAAGTTATTTATAATAGTTTTTGTGAGCGGTTTTAGTGAAAAACACTACGAGAGAAGTCGATTCAAATAAAAATGTTCTTTGACGTAGTCAAATTATGTATTTCATAATATGAATCCCAATCTCAACCCCCCTCCAAATGGAGCCAGATTGATGCAATTGTTCATATGCATTTCGTTAGTATAAGAACATGACTCTTACATGTTCTGATGATCAATATGTACAACTTTCTCCCTTATATTTTTATGATCACATTGCACAATGTGTTTAGAAGTTGTAAAATCTGTTATGTTGTTAATCTGTTATTATGTTATAATTTATTATGGTATGTTATTATTATAGTATTCAATTATTTATTATTTTGCAATGAAAATTTATATAATACAAAATAGGTGGGAGAAAATATGACTCTAGTGATTTCAATACTGCTGCTCATGGGTGTGTTTTTTTGTTTGTTTTAATATTATAAATAGTTTTATTAAATTGAATATAAAAAATATTGTTTGGAAACGAGTGCAAATTGTGCGATAAAATTGTAGGTAGGTAGCTAAATCAGCTAAAACCACATTATCGCGATACATACTGTAATTATTATTTTAATTAATGGAGTAAATTACTTGGGTATTGCAGTTTATCTTTTTTGCTTATTGTGCACACATCAGCGTAGACTGTGAGTTTTCTTTTTAACCCAAAGAAAAATCCTATAAAACTACATATATTCTTATACCCATAAGAAATACACACATACTCGTATATTATATTGTTATTTATTAATAATAATTTAAAACTATTTTATTTGCAATTTTTTTGAAAAAGCAATGTGTAAATAATTAACGGAACACGTCAATTTATAGATTATAAAATAACGTAATTTGAAAAGAATTAGGAAGGTAAGATACATAGAGTTATTTTATTTATATCTGTAGGTAGCGATAGTTTATTGTTAACGAAATACGATTCTACTGATAAATGTTACCGTGATTTCTAAAACTTACTACATTACGCCCAATTTTTCATTTTGATCACAAAGTACAATTTATGATGAACCTAGTGTTTTAAAGCAATTTTCAAGTATTTTTTCTTGGCTAAAATAACAGATTTTTACAATTTTTTCGATTAAATTACAACAAAAAGGAACAACTCGTTGAAATTTGCTTTTAGAAAAGATACTACGTTTGAAAATTGGAGTTGGATTTTTGGTAGAAAAGCGGTTCATAAGAAAAAGAAAAAAAGCACACGTAATAGTAAACCACCCATACATCCCTCTCTGCTCTCAAAATGTAAAAGTGGCCTGACCGAGTTAAATATAATAATTGTAATAAAATTACACATTGTGCTGAAATCAGCTTAACTGCAAGTATCGTTTCTGGCCGATAGATTTACTGATGCCCTATCGCCTCCTTAATGTTGATTGACATATTTTTATCCATTTTGTAAATGAAGATCTTCACAACCACCTTTAGTCACTTAATTCCAATCACAAACACCTATAGTAAGTTCAACATCTATCCATAACAATAAAATAATATATGTATATTATATTACTGCTGTGAAAGATATCATCGTTATCGCCCTCGACATCAATTAATGGCAGTAAAAGTCAGTTTTAATATGAACTCGTTCGTGTTATCGTCCTCGTTTTTTTCGTTATGTAACAATTTCCTTTACATAACAATTATTATATTTTACAGGCATCCCAGATGTCAAAGTTTACTTATTCAAAAGTAATCGGATCACTTAAACCAAACTCAAACCTAGGTTCGTATACATTATAGTTTTACTCTAATTTTGAAAACATTCTCATTTTGATATAATTCTCTAAGGAGACATTTGTAACTATACCCACTTTTTTTTACGATATTTTTAAACGCCTCTGTTATCTGCAATTCGTGCCTATACATTATATATTATTATTCTCTAAATTCCTTTTTTTTTTCGGATCAGTTAATTGCGTTGTTTAAGTAAAACCACTGAGGTATTTATAATATTATAATAGTAGAAGTAAAAGTAATTTGTTTTTAAATTAAACAACTAGTACCGATTAATATACTGTTTAATATGAATAATACAAGAACAATTTTTAGGATTTAATAAATTTAACACTTAATAATCGTTGCGGGATACTTGATGAAAACAAAATAATTATTATAATAAAAATGACGAATTTAAATTCATACACAGTGTGTGTCCCCCATGTTCGACGGATTTTTCTACAGCTGTTAATATTACATATATTTTTTTTAATCGGTGTTTCTTCGAGGACAACGATTTGAAAAAAAATGTAATTTTTATTTTTATCCCCTAAACACATAAAAAAAAAACTTTTTATTTTTCACTTTACAAAATATTCAAAATAATTATTTTGTAAAAGATATTAATCTAAAAATTTTAATGCATTACCATTCATATCCGATGAATAGTTTCTTAGTAATAGCCGTTTTAATTTCTAGAAAAAAAGTGTGAAATAATTAATATTCAATAAACTACTGTTGCGATAAGAAATTACCGTGTGACGGTAATAATTATTATTGAATAATAATTGTTTTCACACTTTTTTTTTATATTTAGAGGATAAAAAAAAAAATTAAATTTTTTTCCAAGTCGATGTCTCTCGAATTTCCTCGAAGAAATACCGATTAAAATAAAAAGAAAAAAAGAGTTGATACTGGAGATAAGAGTGGCCACAGTTATAGGTTAAAAGTTGGAAAGGATACGATACATAAGATTATTTCATTTGTATCTGTAAGCAACGATAAATTATTGCTTGACGAAAGATGATTCCGAGCGCAATTCGGTAATTTATGCATAATTTAAAGTACCGTAATTATTTTTTTGCGATTTTCGTTTAAATTTTATTTCAATACGCTTATTAAAAAAAAAGAAAAAGAAAAAAGATTAATGATTTTGGAAATTTTACCACGTCTATGTAAATTCAATATTAATATTATTACCAATTTTCAAGTCTCTACGTGTATTTATAACCGAATTACAAAAAACACTCCCAAAAATTAAAATTCCTTTAAAGCTAAAAAGTGACTCAAAAGTTTTGGCAATAATACCGTAAGAAATTAAATCAAAAAGGCCACAAAAAAATATGTCTTGTGATATTTTGATTAGATTATTTTTTCTGGTAGAAAACGTCGTCCGTGTTTTTATAAAATAATGAAATCGTGAAATTGTACGTTTTCCTACGTTTTTTCTCACTTAAGTGTTTTTATTTAAAAAATGGCACCAAAAATCTGAAAATGACCTGTTTAAAGTGTCATCAAAACATCTTGAACTTTTAGAAAAGTTGCGACACGTAATAATCGGAACATGTTTACTAGGAATAAAACGTATCCACAGTCTAGAACGAAAAAAAAAGAAGAAAGAAATAAACAGCATTGTAAAACCAATAGTTCCCTCACTATGCTTAGAATATAAAAAATGAAAAAATATTTAATATCAGCTTTAGAAAAATCTGTCGAACATGATGGAACACACTGTATTTAAAACCGGATAATGTACTTAGGTACCTAATAATATTATAGAGTATACTCTCTCTAATATGTCTAGTTATATTTATGTTTTTATTTTCAAACAATTATTTTTACCGTGTATTTATTTTAATTATCTGAGCCGATCGGGCTTGATAATAAGAATTTGACTCTTAGAATCAATCCGCTGAAATAATGAAACACCCGGAAGGTCCGTTTGCCCGAAAAAAAAAATGCCTCGGATAGGAAGTAAAATTATTGAGCAGCAAAGTATTATTTATGAACATTTAATAGAAAAATATTATTATTTATCAACAGATCCGGCGGAATGCTTGCCGGCGGACAGTCCGCTCTGTTCTCAATACAAACATCCAGACGAATTGATATTATCAGTGCAGGAATCCGGTCCTGGCGGTTTCACAGTGTGGTTGCCGCTGCTTATCTTCGGTGTGGACGTGAACAGTGACGCAATTAATAATATTGACGAAGAGTTGCAAAACGAAGAAGAAGGCGAAAACGAAATGGAAATATACGTTTCAGGAAAACGTTTCCCTAACAGGATGATCAGGTCCCTGGAACTGACCGAAGAATATCCTCCTGAAGGTACTTTTCGTCCTCCATCCAGTAAGGCCGAACCTCTGACTACACCGCCTTTGGTTTCTGATAATCCCTCTACTGCAGGGGCCTCGATGCCCCTGATGCCCTCAATGCCTTCCATGCCCTCCATGCCTTCTATGCCCTCCGCGCCTTCCATGCCTCCCACTTCTTCCATGCCTTCCCTGCCCTCTTTACCTTACATACCACCAATGCCGCCCGTTTCTTCTATAGCTCCAACGGCGCCCTCTATACCACAGCCGCCTACCGAGAATACTCCGACTGAACCGAAAAATAGAAATACGGGGACGACAACAAGCGACGTTACGACCATATCACCAGAAGTGGAGCTAATCGATACTACGACGGAAGACTACGGCAATGTGGGCGAGCCAAATTGCGATTACGATCCGATAACGTTCATTTTGAAATGTGGCCTGAACATAATCACCAGTATTTTCGGTGTATCCGATACCTGTTGTAAACCGTTATTTTAATCTAATTTTATTCCGAACAAAATTTTAGTAATTTTATAATTTTGTTTATCGGTATCCTAATTTTATTTTTGTTTTCTCGAAAATATTTTTTTTTATCGGAAAATACATATTCGGAGAATTAATCAATATTTCTCTAATTCCGCTCGGAATACAATAAATAGAAAGTATTGGATTTCACTAATCAGTACGTTTAGAACAATGGAATTAAATTGTTATAATATTATTATCACTCCGTGTATCGATAAACGAAGACAATTCGTTATGATTAATACAACTGCATGTATGTATTTCAAATCTTCTTTGTGGTATGCACAATATATTTTTTCGTAAAATATACCGCAATGAATATGTAAGGATATATATTATACATTTCGTTTAATTTTGAGTTTATATAGGTAGATATTTTTGATCAAAAGAATATGACATACATACACTTATGTATAAAATACCTTCAAGTTTTTCTAAACAATATTTTTATCAAAATTAAAATGAAGGTCTCGCAGCTCCAGCATTGCTATGAGTTATTTCTGATAATAATTTAACCGAAATGCGAATGAACGTTAAGGGGATTATTGTTGCTTAAATAGTTTATCTGCGTATAATTTGTTTCAAGAGTAATTCCAAACAGCCACAGCTAATTAAATTTTGTACAAATAACAAGAATATCGTAAGAATAATATTTTATTGTATCGAGTATATAGATATTCTATATTTTAATATTAGACTATCCACTTTTAAAAAGAGCCGATACTGACGACCGATGTGCTACTGGTGTAGGTGAAAAATCGGGAAGACAGTGTTATTTAATTTATGTCTCCACGAAATGATAAATCATTGCTAACGAAGTACGATTCTGACTAAAATTCGGTTGAACATATTTTGAAATGCCGAGATATGTACGGAAAAATATTATAAAACGACACAGAACATTTAAATTTAATCAAATGATCAACGAATGTACGAACAAATACGAGAAATTATTTTGGAAAACAAAATATAGGTATTTACAATTTACTCGAACGACAAATGTGGTTTTAAATTTACTAGACCTTTACAGTGTAAAAATATAATGGTAAAAGTGTTTTAATTAGTGTTGAAATAGAGCTTAAACAATTCCATGTCTGAAAAAATACTCCAAAATCAATTTTACTCAACATTTCCGTGCACTAGATCTTTATAAGGTCCGCGTTAAATATAAATCATCACATTATACATGACTATACTTTAAAGTATACATTATAAATTCGTAGAGATTACTGCAGGTTAGTGTATCACAAAAGACTTAGTTCCTTTACCATACTTCATTGTAGTATAATTATTAGTTATCAATACTATATTTTTAGGTATTATTGTTGTTTCGCCGCCGTCACCATTGCGGTCGGTCGGATAGCGTATCTAAAGATCCTATCCGAGTTCGGCCCAACCCCGAACCGAGTTGGTTTTTAAGAGTTTTTAGTAGTTTTAAAAACACCACCTATTTGTTAGTCTAGGCCTGAGACCGTTCAGAGGATACACATGAGTTAAACCTGAAAATCGACGCACTAGTCGACGGAAAACTACGACCGGTTGCGTGATGTATTTGCACAGTTGTACAGCTTGAGTCGAACTCGAATAGGGTGTGTAAATACGCTTTCGGTGGCCCGGGTAAGTATACCGCCGTCGGAATCGCGGGGTGTGATGAAATGCTAATATTATATTTTGTTTTCCAGTCGTTTTAAATTTAAAACGGCGCGGCCCGGGAGACCCATTTGCCGGGACACCGCCGCCCCGTCATTAAACGGTTTGGTGATATTCCCGAAGGCTCGGGCCATCGTATAATAATAATAATAATAATAATAATAATAATAATAATAATAATTGCAGTTCCGACGCGATAGTTTATTATTGGTCCTACGTGATGCAGCCGCGGTTTATTACTCGCGTCGAGTTGTTTTTAACCCGCTCCCGATGAAAATATTTTAATGGTTATCGAAAAAACCATTTATACCGCTTACCTATCTAGCTACCTGTACATACAAACGCTATCAATATTAATAATATACTTAACGATGGTATTTTTCGTCCGGTCTCTTTAAAATCCTATGTATAAAATATAACGCATGTGTGCCTATGCGTATATTGTAGAACGTGTGTTGTATACACATTTGGTGTAACGATTTGTTTTTGGTCTTTAAAACGCCCGACAATCCACAGGAAAGTTATCTTCACAGAACCGCTAAACCGGCTAAATATTAAAATATTTGTAGAATAATGGACATAATTTTAGTCCTAGGAAATGTTTAGAGGAAAATAGAAACTAACTTTTTTTTTTTCCGAAAGAAAATGGATAGTGGATGAAAACAGTATCTCGTGTTTAAACGAAAATAGCTACGGCATTTCACGGTGTTTTATACCTCTTCAAAGCCCCTTATATAACCCTACATAATTAAAGAAAATAAAAATCAATATATTCACCATTTTACCAAGCTGACACTTTAACAAATCAATAATTATATTGGTATAATGTATGCATAGATGTTTTTGTGGACAAATTTAACCAAAGAAAAAAAATGGATGCAATAGATGACATAGTTCAAATCGACAAATTCCCTATAGGGAAAAGGAAAATGATCACATAAAACCATTTTAACGAAATACAGGTAGTGATGAAAGTGACAGAGAAAACTCTGAAAAAAGTAATCAACAAGTAATAATTTATGTCGAAATAAGACAAGGATTTTTGGATTGTCTTCAATTTTTATTAACAAGATAGGTCAATTTTGGACGGTAGGTCACTCATTGACTTTAAATTTGACCATAGGTTACACTTATATTGAACCATAACCTAAACCACATTAAACGATTCGATACTGACCGCGAATCATAATGGATGCCCTAAAACGAGCATATTGATAATCCGTAATCTGTGTGGCCGAAAATTAACACTTTGAAACGACTGACATGCGTGTGGCAAAATGAAACCAAAATCGATAAACTCGAAATCATCGTGTAGATAGTTGCTAGATTATGGGGCTGAAAACAAAAATTAGGCATTCTGTATTAGAAATAATTACAACGAGCTTTGAAGTACCTGATTGGTCGTATTATTTTTGGAAAAAATACTGGTTTTTTTTTTTTTTTTTATTATTATGATTAATACTATTCTTTTACGCGTCGTTTATATAATACTGTCTAGCTATACTACTAACTAGACATTATAATTTATTCGGTGCGTCCTAATTTATTTGTATCGAAAAGAAGTTTGCTGCACCTGTTTGTTACACCATTAAAATATTACCAGAGCGTTGCGTTTTTTTTTTTTTTTTTAGATTGCTTTGGTTTTAAAATACGGTGAGAGCGTTTACCTAATAATAATAAAATATATAGGTACCTACACGACGTATAATTTTTCAATAATATTACTATAGGTGTAAAACCTACCTATACCGAAAACATCAAAAAAAAAAAAAAAAATGATAAAATATTGCGCCAGACCAATCAGATAAGTATAAATCGTTCAATTCTGTATTTGGTATCTTATACCTATACAATTTATAAAATAAATGGGAAATAACCTTTGCCGATGGATTTTTTTATTATTATTATTTTTTTTTGTATTTACACGTTTTACTCCGGTGTTTTTTATACGGGCTGTATTAATTTTTTTTTTTCCCGGGAAAATAATCGGATACTTGTTCTGAGGAAAAGCCAAACTTATATTATATATATATAGATAATAATAATATCATCGTCGCGTAGTCGTTTTTTTTTTTTTTTTCATTAGTCCTCGTAATAAACCACCGTCGGAAATACGATTTTCGTTTTATATTTTCGTTGACCGTTTTACGCATGCGTAAAGTACGAAAAGAATAACGAGATCAGATTGATAATTTTAGTGCTATGAGTGGTTGTCCGTTTATCTACATCTCCGTAGTTATCTAAAGATTAAATATACGAATTTATTTAGCCCCGTATTGCGAATAAAAATTATTATAATTTAGTTTCATAGTTTTTTGTTTACTGCACGTCCACACCGATACTCCCTGTATATCACGTAACAAAAGCCCCAGCCACGACTCTCCAATAGTAATTGCATATAATATTAATGCAAATGATGTAGGAACCGAGAATGTCTACGCAAAAATATTATTTAAAAAAAAAAAGTTCATATTATTCAGAGGTAGAGAATTTCTGCGGTTGGAACCAAACAGATCAAACAGAAATGCTCGAAAATTCAACAGAAAGTTCATTATAAGATGTACTTGGTGTCCAATAAGAATCATTAGTTTAATGTAGTATTTTTTTTTTTTTTTTTTTTTATTAGAATTTTAATAGTTATACAATTTTGACCAAAATCGTATATGTTACTGTCTTTTAAAACACGTATAACCTAACCCCGCTCAGAATCATTTTTCATTAGAAATTATTAATCGTTGCATACAGATATACATTCAATTTCCCTCTGTATCCTATATAGAAATATTATCTTTCTACCTTTTCCCCCTTTTCCCGCCAAAGTATGTCAGTCTTTTTTTTCACGGTTTTTCCAATTATCGAAAAACCTACAAAGAAGAACAAAAAATGACTTCCCAATGCACTAACTAGATCCGAAATGTAACAAAAGGTCTCTTGTCATGCTTTGATTATTGGAGCAAGATTTTTTTATTGAAAAGTAACAATTTTAACCTTAAAAGACTTATAAAATAAAAAGTACCCATCATAATAATAAAGCATACACATTACTGGCTACGCATAAAATTTAAAATTACATTGCGTAATATTATTATTATTATTTTTAGTACTGAGACGGACCCCCGCGAAAACAGATCGGTGCCGGGGGAGCGCGGTTTATTTTATCCGTGTACAAAACTGAAGAAGTCCGGGTGGCGGCCGATTTCCGACGGATAGTGTTTTTGCCTAGATTTCTTCGGGGATTCCGGTCGTCCGTGCTGGGCAACCGAAAATCTTTCGGACCAACGAGTGGTTAGGGCGTGCAGAGATTATTATTTAAGATTATTGTTATCGACGCACGTAACGTGCATAGTCGTTTTTAGTGACTGTTTATCG